AAGGACCAGACCCAGAGATTTGCTGCAAAGGGCAGTGTGGGAATCCAATGACAGACAAAAAGAACTGTGGAGCCTACAACAGCAAGAGTAAGAAAGAAAGCAAGTGCATCTATGGAATGTGCGTCTATGTATGACAAAAATTTAAATTTTTGGTAAATGGCTAGATATTAGTTGGTGGATCTAGCCTCATGCTTATTCATTTGTTTGTATGATTACATGTAACTTGATATTCTATCAATAGAAATGTACCTTTTAGTCTGTATTGGAAAAATAAAATGCTAGTCCGGCATGGAAATGTCTGAAATGGCACAACAACTTGAGTCTGCCCGTTCGGATTGCTGTGTGCATCTAAAAATTTCCAGCCCAAACTGGCATTTTGTTTTACTAGTCTGAACTAAAAAAACTATTTAACTATCCTGTATATGTAGTTAGTGTAATCAGTAAGCATAAGAAAAACAAGACAGAAGATGTGGAGCAAAATATCAATATAATTATAGACCATATCACACAGTCCAGAAAATGTAATAAAAAGACATGTTTCCAACTGCATGAAGAACGTAATATAACAGCTCCATCAGCCATACAACAATATGTTACTGTATGGAACAGTGATGATTGTATCCGCTCTCTGCTATGTCTTACATCTTATCTTCCAATTCTACCTTCTTCAATAAGCAGTAATTATCTGTGCCATGTTCTCTGATACTAATCTACTCTTTGTCTACAGTCAGTGGTGTGATTTATCAGCAAAACTCAAGCCATCATTCTAGTAGCTAGACCTAGCCAAATTTGATCTACAGGGTCAATTGACTGTTAAGAATGGTGTAAGAATTCGCTGATTATGAAGGTGTGTCTATCAATGTACAGGCCTTAAAAGGGCCCACTAGCCCCTCACCCAAAAGGCGCATGGCAGCTCCACGAGAACTTCCATGCAAATAAGAATCTGGTAACAAATGTAGAATTAGTACAACACCACTTAGTCCTAAATTCACTCTCATAGTTCACACGGTTGATGGCCTGTTCAATAAAATAACACAAGCAAGAAGATCCAAGTGAAACATACAAACATGGACTGTAAAAGAACAAAAAGCCTGCAATGAAGGTCAAATTTGAGAGATTAAATTACCTTCAGGAGCATAGAAAATTGAATTGATCAGAAAGAAGTGGACTGGATGAAAAGCAGCTAACGTTAGGGATGAGAAGTAACAACCTTTATTTCATTGATCTGTTTAGTGTCAGCATCCGCATAGCTAAATGTAACAGGATGCCAGTTATTCTCCATCTTGGCAGCTGACTGATTCCATAAGTTATAGGTCATTGCTCTTCTCTCAAGTTCACCTTCAAGTTCACTCATCTAACAGGTAAAAAACAAGAAACCAGAAAAGGTAGATAAATTAGATTTCATGGTCTCAGCCACACAAAATCATCACACAACAAAATCAACCCAAGAAGAATAGCACTGACACGGATGTGAAATTCAGAAATATATATATATATATATATATCAGGGAAGAGATTAACTATTGATACTTACCGCAAACAATGTCTGCACATAATGTTCATCTGGGATACAATTGCGCAGCTTATGAAGCTTATGCATAATTGGACCAGCATATCATTCACTTGCAGGGAAAAGAAGCATTATGTCTGAAGTAAAAATTGGAAGCACAAATTTTTGGAGAATATAAAATAAAAGGGGTTTTTCTAACTTGAGTCCTGAGGATGCATTTAAAATACCTTTTAGTTATTAAGTTACATAAAAAAAATTAAAGTTTGACTTTAATTTTAGTAACTAGCCAATTAAATTAATATATGTGGCATTAATGATAAAATTAATATTCACTTATTTGGTTTTCTATACAACTTCATGACTAAAAAATGTTCCATGAAAAAGAATGACTAAAAAATGTATTAATTACACCCTTAACTTGTCCCTTATGAACACAGATTAGAAAAATCTAAAAAAAAATGTATTGTTTTTCCTTTTTAGAAATAAATCTTTCTTGAAAGTCCATCTTCCACATACAAAAAACTGGAAATAATATTTTTTTTTATCAATGTCCATGAAATAGAGAACTTGATCCACCAAACAAATGCAATCATATAATTGCACTTTGTTATCTTTCTGTTGCCCTGTTCTACTCACTTCTTTAAGCCAACTTTTTATCTATCAGGCTACTGTTTCAACAATGGTGACATCTCATAATAGGGCAGTGTGGAGTCCATACATTAGACAATATAACAAGACACCTGGATTACGTAAACTAAGGGAGACTGCGATCTATACTACAAATAATGGCTTGGAACAATTACCATATTCAGCTTTCCTTTCCTAACATCCAGAGGTGGGTGTCGCTCCAACAAGAGAAGAAAATTCAAATCTCAGATAAGTTCCACATGGTTATGAATTACATAATTAGATATATGACAGTAACACTATCAAAATTTGATAGGGGGCTCCTCTTTAAGGAAATTAATGTGGAGGCACCATTTGATAATGTTGGCACAGCTTTTATACGTTTAGTTTCACTGTTATTTGTTTGATAATTATTCACAAACCTATGGTAGGAGTTTTTGGTCTTTGAAAGTTCCTAATGATGCTTCTCGGAGCTGGAGGAAGATACTACAGTTAAGAAGTGTTGTTAGACCTTTTATTAAGCATCAGGTGGGCGATGATGAAGGCATATATTTGTGGTTTGATGATTGGCATCCTCACAGACCTCTAATAAAAACCTATGGTTATGATATTGTTAAAGCAGCTGCTTTGCCTCTTCAGGCTAAACTTTCTCTTGTAGTGCATGGGAACTATTGGAAATGGCCACCAGCAAGGTCTCCTTCCCTCTTGCAGGTTCAAATAGCATTATGTGGGGCATTGTACCCAATTACAGGCCAGGTAGATAATGTTATTTGGTTACCCTCCTCCTCTGGCTCTTTTACAACAAAGTCTGCATGGGAATGCCTTCGAAGCAAACAACAAAGGGTAGACTGGTTCAGACTTGTGTGGTTTGCTAATTCTATACCAAGACATAGTTTTGTAACTTGGCTAGCTTTACTTGATAGGCTGTCCACACGCTCCAGACAAAAGAAGTGGTCAACTCAGGTCAATGATATCTGTGTGCTATGCAACAAGGCAAGTGAGACACGGGACCATCTTTTCTTTGCATGTTCTTTCTCTACTAGTGTTTGGAGAGAGATATCTGACAGGGCTAGTATTCCATTTATTACATCTTTGATGCCACTGGTGCAAT